TGAGTATACACCCATCGACTGTAACGTTTTTTTAATACTTCTGTACTTTCATGGATTTTAATTCATCACTAAACATTTTGGAAATAAGTAAATAAATAGAAAAGTAATTAAATTAATAAGTAAAAAAGTCAATTTGGAAAATAATTTTTTCTGAATTTTTATATGGCAGTAAACGTATCAATATATTTTAATAAACTTATAATTTTATAAAAGTAACATTAAATCACTTTTTTTTTCATTTCTTTTATATTTTTTTTACGAAAAAGAGACAAACGTATATTTACAATTAAATCCAATATGATCTAAATGCTCCTTTCACTTAAAGTCCTTATTGCATCTATATATTTGAAAATGTTTTATTTTTAATATTCAAAAATGTTTCCTGAGCGTTTCTGAGTTTAACCATCACTTTTCAATTTTGAATTGAGCAAAAAATTAAAAAAAATCACAAAATTTGTGTAACCTATACAGAGTCTGGTTATTTTATATATATTTATAAATATATTTATTTGAAATACGTTTTCTAAAAGACACACAGCAATTAGTTTCACAGAGATAAATGGATTTTTATAAATCCACAGAGAAAGTGATAACAAAAAAAGAAAAATGGATTCTGCATATGTTCCGTTTATTCAAAGGGATACATGTTATTAAAGATCTCATGGCAACAATTCTAAAAGTAATATGTGTCATAGTGTCAAAAAATATCGTAAAATAGAGTTCTCGCGTTGAAATTAATTGATTTCTGCTTAATTGAAGAAAATTATCAGAATTACATGTAAAAGGTCAATACGCGAGTATTGAGATATGATTTACCATAGTAATCAGTTGAATTATAGGATGGCATTTCATCAGATTATCGGATAATATTAAGGTCATTCGAATAATAAAATAGATTATTGGATTTTTCTCCAAGTTATATTCTTAACTCATAAATAGATTTTCATAATACGCGTTTTATAAACGTTACTCGAAAAATGAGATGCTACACGGAAAGAATAAGTTTACTGAAATATCTAAAAATTTAGATAGACGTAAATCTGCAAATAATCTTGTTAAATCATCAAAATAATTATGTAAATAATTCAAGCATGCTGCAAAAAAGGTTTGATATTCTAGTAACCAATTTGAGTCATACATAATATTATTTTGACAGTCCAAAATTATTTTCTGTCTAGCTAAATTTTTAGATATTTCAGCATTTCATTATTTCTGTCTCTAATTATATTTATACACGATAGAAAGATCACTTTGGTATTATTCTTCGAGTTTCCTTTATATGATTGATACGGTTGATACGGTTGTTCAGTCACTTGACAGAACATTAATATCGCCGAGAATATATCTCCTCTTTTTGTAACTCGCGATTTTCGGGTCTCATCGAAAACTATAGTAAATTCATTTCACATATGAAACGCGAGAATGGGATCTGGTAAGCGAGAGAATATTTCAATTGCCAGCATTGCTATCGCGCGACGCTATGTATGTATAAGAAACATGACTAGCCAAAGGCAGACAGCTAGCGCTGGTAAGAAAGAGGGAAATCTTCCTAGCAGAGGAGAGTATTTCATCGTATTCCTTCGTGGGTTTTTTGCGGTGGATTCTTGCCAAGTCCTGGGCGGGTATTACCTCCTTTGAATCTACCTCGAACAAGGCTTGATCTTTAAGGCGCTCGAGGGTTAGGTTAGTAATTTGCGGATTATACGAGCAAGACGCTCGAAGAGGGATAGCAAGTAAGGAAGAAGCTGGGGTAATAGAAAGGAAAAGAAATAGCGTTGCTGGTGAACTCGGCCGAACGATAGTATGCACCCTCGTCTGTAATTTTCTGACCTTTTCTCTCCACGTTCTCTCTCCCAATTTCTCTTTCTCTGTCTTTGCCACTCTTTGCCGTCACTCACCCTGTTTTCACCCTGTTTCTCAGTCATCGTCTCGCGCGATTCAGCAACTGTAGAGCAGTCGCGAAAAACTTTTCATTTCAATAACTATAGCAATGTGCTATTGGCTCATGGAGCCAAAGATGGAAAGATACTTGTCCTTTGATGGTAGCAATTTATGCTACATTCTATACTTAATCTTTGATGATCTTTAGATACTCTATAGGTCCATCACTAGAGCCGTTGATAATGCCGGGATCAAGATTATAGAGAACTTACAAAGCTTCGTTTTCTGAATGTGCTGTAATTAATCGGCTTCCTCCTCCTATTTCAAACAAGTTTCAACGAATGCGTACTTGCAACAAACTCGCAGTGCATTTCTCCGATAAAAAAATTACTATATTATTTAGCAAAAATTGTTTCATATAAAAGCATGTGTAAATATTATATTGTATATATAAACTATACAGGGTGTTAGGAAAATAATGATAAATATTTCGCATAAGGACAGAATGGACTAAACTGAAAAGTAAAGTCCTCCACCATTTTACAATTTTCGTAATAGTTAACAAGATATTAATTACTAAAAATTGCCGAAAATTGGTCTTCAATAATTTTTTATTAAATAGTATTAATTTTACAGAAAAACTGTAAGAAACAAAAATTATTTATTTTCTTCTCATAAAACTTTAAGAATTTTTTTTAGAATTTTTTCAGAATTTTTTAATACCGTATTTTCTCTATTATTAAAAATGAGAAAATGCAGCACTAAAAAGTGATTTAAAATTCTGAAAAAATTTGTAGAGTTTTATAAGAAGAAAATAAACAATTTTCTTCTCTTTCAGTTTTTCTGTAAAGTTGATAGTATTTGAGTAAAAAATTATTGAAGATCAATTTTCAGCAATTTTTAGCAATTAATATCTTGTTAATTGTTGCGAAAATTGCAAACAGGACTTTTCTTCTCAGTTTAGTCCATTCTGCTTCTATATGAAAGATTTATCATTATTTTCCAAACACTCTGTATATATAATATAATTATATATGAAATATGTCTATATATGTTATATATTCTTTTTTTGTAAAATTACTGTTTGGTACAAGAAAAATAATATTTAATAATGAGATAATTTTATTATTAAAAGAATAATTTTTGCATTGTTCCTTTTACAAAAAATCGAGTTTGAAGAAATGAGAAAGAATTGCTCATACATATATGTATATGTAATTATACATATATAATAATTTATATATATCTATATTTATATATAAACATTTTTTTCATTTCTTCAAACTTGACTTTTTGTAAAAGAAAATACCAAAATTATTATTTTAATTATTTTCATGTTTTTCATTATTGTTATTTTTCTTGCACCAAATAGTAATTTTACCGAAAAAGAAGAATATATGAATATATTTCATGTATAATTATGTTTATATGTATTTATATGTATTTATGTACCTATACGTTTTCATATGAACGTTTTTTATTGGATAGATCAGCAGTATTAATTAGCGAATCAACGTTATTAAATGCAATTGTGCTGTTTAAAAATCTTTCTTTTTTCGAATAAAGTATCTGTTTTAATCTAATTGGAGTCAAGAGATAAAATATTGTGTCTGTATCAATTGATTTTCTTCGAAATAATATTATTAAAGAACGCTTTTATATTCAGATTGACGTTTCTCTCGATGTGCTTGAGAGATTTTGTTTATCATTTTTACAATTAAGTGAATTTATGGATTATTCGGTACAGCGACAGAGGAACAATGGTACTCGCGGGAATAGCGATAGGCGTACATACATAACTACCCAACCTTATAAATATTACGATAATTAATGTATCGGAAATGGTACTATCGTCGCACATTAATTTTAGCAGACATTATTAACAATGGAGTACGCATCGTTTTTTATTTTTTGAATAATTTCTGAACGCGCTGAAATAAAGTTGATAAATTCGAAAAATTCTTATAAACTAGTAAACTTAAAACATTAAATTGAAACATGATATTATTACGGATATAAAATTTGAACTGCTAACTTTTACTAAAAAAAAAATTTTACTTGCTTATATACAGTAAACAATTGATGTTAAATTGATAGTCGAATTTATTGTTGCCTCCTTTCCGCGATTTTAATTAATTCTCTCGGTTTGCTCACTTCGTAGATACTGTGAGAGTCACTGTCAGCGCAAGGTATTTTAACAGCTCACAAAGATTAGATTATCATGATTGATTTGTATATTTGCGTACTTGTATATCTTTTGTATAAATATTTTGCACGTTAAAAGATAAATAGTACGCGTCTGTATAGTAAAAAACATTTTATATTAAACATTTTATATTAAAACCGGTTTTTGTTAAAATTTTTGTGTTGAATTTTTAACATATTTGAGTGTTAATTTATAACATGATTGTGTTATTTAAATATTTTGTGTTAAAAATTGATGTTCAAAATTGATGTTAGTATTAAAATAACATAATTTATCGGTAAGTGAACAAATAATAAAAAAAAATATTTTAAAATATAAATTCTAAACTAAAATGTGTTAATTAAACATATTAAGAGTTTTTAAATTTACTGTATTAACGTAACATATCTATTATACTTAAATGTTTAATTTTATTAGGTGTTGGAATTAATTCGTAGCGTTTTACAAGAGATGGGAAGTACTTTCATTAATGTATTTTTTAATGCTCATGTGAAATAAATAACATTCTTTCATTAAAAACGCTACGAATTAATTCCAACACCTAATACAATACACGATTTATTTACAAATTTGTTACATTTTTTGTGTTAGTTAGGTAATATTTATGGTATTTCTTCATATATATTCTTATATTTAATTAAAACGAAAATTTTGTTCGTTTGGGAAATATATTTACATGCGAAATATGTTAAATTTAACATAAATTTTTTAACTGTATTATGCTTTTTTAATATTTTTTTCATATTTACTCGTTTTCTCTCTTTTTTATATATTTAAAAATGCCAGCAATCCGTTGATATAGCAACTCAATTATTAATATTGTAAAAAAAAGAAAGATATTAGAACAGAAGCAATAGTATAACAGTAGCTACAACGATGGAAAAGTACAATCTTTTGGAAACGTATACATTACGTCTTGTTAAAGTGGTATAATAGTCATTTCTCCCCAAGACGTCCTGTAGGCGGTGCGGTGAGTAAATAGGTTGTATTTAGAGGCACTCAACGCACAGCGTGTGGTTCACTCAAAACACGCGAGAAAAGCCGCATTGACATTATCGGCTCACCCTTCGGTCCTCCTTTCGAGTCAGGAAGCGGCCCCCGGGGTGCCCTGTAAGTAACGCACGCACGAGAAAAATAAGGGATTCTTTTATATTGATAGAAAAGAAAAAAGTAACTTACATGATGATGGAGTGCTGATATTATCGTACTATAGTGACCTAAGTATATATGGAACTTGCCAGAAGTCCTGTATGTGCATTTGCTAGAAAATATAAGATTATGTTCGTGTCAAAAAAATCTCGTATTTTTATTTTATTTATATTTTTTAGTTTTTTTAGATAATTGTTTGATAGATTTTTTTGATAGACTTCTATATATTACATTAGATCGTTATCAACGGTCTGATAGTGAAATCATAATGCATATGCATCATATTTCATGTGAGATAAAAATCATACATATATGTATACTAAAAAAAAAATTTATTAAATTTCAATGAAATATTTATTTAAATAGTATCTATTAAACATTTACTTACAATAAATTAATATTTACTGTAATAAAATAATAATACTTAAATCACGCAAATTAATAATTCTTATATCAAATAAATATAAATATATTTACATTTAGTAAATATTTAGTTAGTATATAAATATTTATTAAAATTTAATACATTTTTTTCAATGTATATACGGAATTATTTATAGCACTGTTACCATTATCGTTTTTTTAACGATTGTTTCTTTTTTCTATCTATAACGGTAACGATATAACGTTGTTTCATTTTTACGATAACGAATTCAATCATTACTTTTATCATTACCTTTTAATAATATTCCCTATTATCTTTATATCTATTTAATAGATCTCATTATTTTTGATTACCAAAAATTTTTAGTATATCTATATGTAATGTAAATATAAATTTTCAGTATTAACAGTATAATAAATATTGGAATGCATTTTTAATAACGATATCATCTTAAAACAATGTTTAACAAAATGTTTTTAATATATTTATGAAATACAATTTAAATTTATAAAAATAAATATGTATTAAAGAAATATAAAAATATTACTATAAAGTATTATAAAAGATTTATTAGCTAAATTCTGAAAAAAAGCGTGACGTAGAAATTAGCTTAGATTCTTAAGTTTTAATATTGATTGTTAAAATTACTATTCATTATTTAAAAAATTTTTATATTCAATATCCTATTCTAATATCATAAAAAATGACAAAAACGAATTATTTCTAAGTAATGATAATGAGTTACAGTCATAGTATCAAGTTACTTTTGAAAACTAGTAGAAATGAGTAACGATAACGAGTTATTTTTTATAAAAAATATGGTAATATATGGTAACGCGTTATTTTTATAAAGTAGCGTTTTCAACTCTCTTTATATAGATATAAAATTCATACGTATTTTATAAGTACGTAATATGTCATTTTTCAATATTGTTTAAAATCAATATTACTTTTTATCTATTTAATCTTTTATATGGCAGGGAAATACTTTTTACCTTTTTTTTTATTTTTGTGATATAACTGTTCACAATTTAGTGAGACTAAATATGATTTCACATTTTTCTCATGCATTATTCCTTTATACGTTTTCCATAATTTCTTTATATTTGATTGTTTATTTGTAATTATTTATTTATAAAAAAATTAAAGTTGAACGAGTTTTACAAAAAATATGACCTTTTGGAAAAGTTACATATTTAAGAGACAAAATTTTACTGAATATTTTTCATGTTTTGTATTAAAATATAATATATATTTTTTCCAGAATTTTTTATACGCTGTATTTTTTATTAAAAAATTAGTTGTTTAATATGTAAAGATAAAAATTTACATTATGTTACAAATTTCTTGCACTTTTGCATTAAAGAGTCTTTAGTAAATAGAGTGAGCTGAATATGACCTCAAAAATTGTCTGTCACATAAAGTTTTCGAAAAAGATGAGATTGAACCATCAAAAAATGTGTTTTTGGCCTTTTTCACTATGTAATAAATTCACTATGTACGAACCAGATGTTCCAATAACTTTAGGAAGATCCAACATTGAAGCTTGGATCTCTCATTGGATCTTTATCTTTTTGTTAATATCTGAAAAATCTTTATATCGTGTGTCTCATTTATATTTATATTTATATTTATTCAGACTTACACTAATTTACCTCTATATGGCAACCATATTGGCTCTACTATTTAGAGTTTTTGAAATTTGACTTAAAATTTGTAATTAAAAAAACAATACGATTCAAAAAACAAAATTGCAATATTTTACAGAAACTCGTTTAAGTAGAAATAATATGGCACAAAAGGTTAAATTAAATCGCATATATTCTTATTGTGTGCACACTGTGTACTATCCCATAGTAAATATGGCTACAGCTACAGCTTCATATTTTATCGTGAATTTATTATATAGATATTAGCGGTCTAGTATAATATAGAAGCTTGTGAATTTTTTTATTTAACTCAATGTAATCTGGTTTTTAATGTGACATTAACTTCAACTATTCATTGACTGTGAAACAAACAAACTATTTCTATATACAACGGATAATAATTTATAAAATATATTATGCAAAGAAGCTTTATTCTCAAATATCAGTAACTTATTCATGTATCCGATAAAGTTAGATATTTTCACTAATTCTGGAAGCGATAATTTTAACGATACTTTTTCGATAATTTTAGAGATATATTGTATTATGTACGAATATCAAAATCAATTTATATATTTACTAATTGTAAATTTTCTATTTTCTTAATGTCTATCTATTCTAGTATCCTTAATAAATAAGGGTTCTCAATGCTTTTGATCTCAATTGAAATTTATATTTCAAATTGCTTTGACTTCTAGCTCTGCATTTAATTGTTTTATATTAAATATAGAGAGTTGTGTAAAGTTCACACGATGACCGATTATTACAAGAAATTTCGCAAAACACGCTCGGGAATCGACGTGGGTACTGCGTGCGAACGGCCGGGCACGAAAGCCACGAGCACAAATGCATCAGTTGGTATTGATTGCAGCAGCGCCGGAGGCAGACGCTCTCTCACACCGACATCGCCTGGTGCATGTCGTGTGGCGGCACCAAGAGATGTACCGCACGCACACACATGCACTCATGTGCACATAGAGTGCGTCGACATAGAGATAGGGAGAACCACTACGCGGTAAGGCGACAGGGATAGGGATACAGAGTGTGCAGTAGGGCCGATGTTCCATGGTGGAGGTCATGGAACGTCCAGTGATTGACGATGCACGCATGTCACACGCACATACGAACGTCTCACGTACGAACGGACGTATGGACGGACAGATGGACGTTATTCTCGCGCTCCCATTCTCGCAGGATGCGCGACGGGATCAAGGACGAGCACGTCCGCAGGAGTAGACATCGTAGAGGGAAAAGCCCAACAAGCAGTCACATACATCGAGCGTTACTGACCTACTTCAAGCTTTCGATCCTCTTTAGTACCCTTCGCTCCCCTCGTCCTTTCACTCGCACAGCCTCCTTACATATGTAGTATTCGTGCTATGCCTGATTTAAAAATAATTATTCAAAGTGATGCGATGTCTCTTGCAGAATTCTTTAATGTCTTTTAAGTTTTTTCCATGCAGTCGTTTAGACTTAGAAATCTGGCTATAAAGAATTTCATCTAATTTAATCTTAATAGAAATTGGAATATAAAATTATAATTATTTTGATAAATGTTTTTTTCTTGCAAAGTCATTGTTTGATCAGTTAGTTTTAATGTCTAACTGAAATTTTACACGTATAAAATTCTTGATGTATGGAGCCATTGCTCTTTTAACATTGTTACTTAAATTGTTTTCGGATAAGTACGATGGATAAAAAATATAATCTGTGACAGTATTTGCTATATGAGTTTACGATCCAACCTAATATCCATTTATAGGTATGGTGTATGATCTCTCTGTGATATTCTATTGAGTTTAACAGCTATACAATCTAACGGATGATGTGTATGCGCATTCCTCATGTATGCAATCTACAGAGCTGAACATCGCACGGTTGTAATAGCTCTGGTTCTATTGACTACACCATAATACGTTCTAAATTGATATATCTGTAAACTTTGTTATATTACCTGAACTTATAATATTATACAATTTAGCTCTTACAAGATTACATTTAACAATGCCATGAATAATATTTAAATTAAGGAGGTTCTCGCGTTACTTCCTAGTCAAGATAGTTTATTCATAATAATAGAATTAAAACAAAATTTTAAATTCTATAAATTTAGAATTAAGTATCTTCAAAATGATAAGTACGGTAAAAGTCAATGAAATTTTTTCCAGATATTATTGACTTTTGTATTACATATATATTATAGATTTGTCTTATATTTCATCAAACGTGAAAATCTCCTTAAATTAAAAACATTTTAACAATCTAATATGAGTTCTCTCTGTCTGTTTTGATATTTCTCTCTGTCTTTTAAATTCGATTGCATATTTAAATTATTATTTTTTGCAATAAATAAATAAACGATGTTTTCATCTTTAATTCATTTAAATAAGGTAGAGGAAAGTCGCTGATACTAACATAAGTCTCCTAAAGCGATATTCTTTTATTTCTTAGAAACTAACTATTGCACTTTATTACTAATACTAATAAAATTTTAATACTAATAAAATGATCTGTTTCATGATCATGATCTGTTTAGCTAATTAAAGAAATACGAACTCATAATTTGTATATTTGTGGCTTATTTCTATATCAAATCAATTAAAAACGAATTTTACGATTGTGAAAATAAAATTCTTACGATTTTTTTTTGTAAATTGCGTAGTTTAAAAATAGCAGTGACTATATTATTGATAATATTACTGATAATATTGATATATTATTTGATATTCTAAATGCTCGTACTTTCCTAAATCAGTTTTATTTATATTATTTTTTCTCTTTTTTCATAATATGATTTTAAATATAAAATTTTGGGATGCAGTGTAAACCACCACACTATAAAATAAATTATGAGCTAATTTAATCTTTATAATGTTATTTTATAATGTCAAATAGTTCTATTGGAGCTGAAGACAATATATAGAATAACTCTTGAAAAACGCGTTACATATTTGCATCTTGCAGAAAGTAAAACATAAAGTAAATATACATATAATTCAATAAAAATATTTTATATCAAAGTGAAAAGATTATAGAATATCTTATATATATATTCACTTGTAGGTATTCTATGCATAATTCCTGTAAAAGAA